GAAAATTACATGTCAAGTTTGGATGTTAAACAGTTATAAAAGATAATCACAAAAAGTCTCGTGCGCGCGCGCTCAACGCACGGTCGTGTGTACTGATACGTAACAACTAGCGAACAAATATTATTATTATTATTGTAAAATGGTGCAATGTAAGAAATGCAACCTTTTCGTATCCTTGGTCAAGGACGACATAGTGAAGTGTAAAGGTGAATGTGGAAATGTCTATCACAAAAAATGTGTGAACAAAAAGTTTATAAATAATGCAACCTGCGACGACTGCTTAGTAAATAAATGCAGTCCTAAACAATCCGCAGAAGATGCAAAGATAACTCTCAACCCCAGAGAAGAAACTGGCGAAAACGTGCTGGCAGAAGTCAATAAGAAATTAGCGGTGATTTATAATTTGGAGAAGAAGATAGAAGAACTAGCCAATAGCGTTGAATTCTACGCTGATATGTACCAATCCCTACTAGAATATAAAGAAGAATCGCAAAAGAAAATCAAGGCATTAGAACAAAAGAATGTTTATCTGGAGAAATGTAACAAAGCGTTGGAAGAAAGAATACAAGAGATAGAAGTGAGAGATAAAGAGAAAAACATCGAAATACACGGATTAGAGAAGTACGGCAACGAAAACACCAAACAAGTAGTTGCAAAACTTGCTGAAAAACTCAAGTTGGACCCAAATGAAATCGAAGATGCACAGAGGGTAGGCCAAGCAAAACCTGATGATACAAACCCCAAAATTGTGCTGGTTACCTTACGGTCGAAGTCGGCTCGCAATAACTGGATGCTTGTAAAGAAAGATACTAAGATATATAATGATAAGGTCTATGATAACGGTAGTGAAAGGAGAATATATTTTAACGAAGATTTGCCAAAATATAAGCGACAACTTCTATGGACGGTGAGAAATAAGCTTAAGCCGATAGGTTTCCAGTACATATGGGTGCAGAATTGTAATATCTTGGTTAAAAAGAATTCTGAGGAGAAAAAAATCTATAACATAAGGTCGGAAGACGATTTGAAAAAGTTCGACGAATGTACCTAAACAAAAGCGTGCATAACGCGGCGCGTAACACACTACGTGATAATAATCAGCAACATTCGATCGTATAGAAAACATGTCTAATGATATAAATTTTAAGAGATATTATGATATAACCGCTTTACATAAGGACCTATCACAGAATCCATGGAACACTCATATACTACACCTAAATATAAGATCTCTTAGAAAAAACTTTAATGAGCTAATAGTAATGCTGGATAAAATTAAATATAACATAGATATATTGATATTAAGCGAGATAAATATAAAGAAGGAAGAACTACAGATATACCAAATAGTTGGATACAATACTTTTATACATACTAGAGAAACCAAACGAGGAGGAGGATTGTTAATATATGTTAAGAATGGATTAAACTTTGAAGCTACAGTAGTTAATACAAAGGAAATAGAAACAATACATAGCCAATTGATGCACGGGAAGAATAAAACTCATATAGTGGCGATCTACAGACCACCTGCTAATAATAAATTGATATTTGTCCAGCAATTATACGCATTAATAAAATCCATACCATCATCTGAAAATGTCATTGTGATTGGAGACACTAATATTAACATATTAAATGACACGTTAAACCCTACCGTAACAAGATACAAAAACGCCCTGTGTGGATGCGGCCTGCTGTGTGCGATACCAAGCGACGAAATAACGCGCGAGGCGATCGCGGACGGCCGGCTCGAGACTTCGTGTTTGGATCACATCTGGGTGCGAGCGAGACGGAGCGAGTGCGACGCGAGCGCGTATGTCCTTGAGTCGCGCATTGCGGATCACCACGCAGTGGGAATATCGTTGAACTTATGTGTGAGTGGTAACGAAAATAAGTGTGTGAGTGCATATAGCAACAATAATTGTGTGCGCGAAGTTATTTGTAATAAAACTGTGAAACAAAAACTGAATGATTATGACTGGACTCAGTTACTTGACATAACTTGTCCGCTAGTTTTATATGAGACTATGTGCAATGTATTTGAAAGAGTTTATAGAGAAAGTACAATTAAAGTTAAGTTAGGTAATAAGAAAACAATAAGACAGCCGTGGGTGGATAAAGATTTATATACAATGTTATTGCGAAAGGATTGTTTATTCAGAATGTGGAAAGTTGATCCTAGGAATATGAACAAGCGATTAGAATATACGAAATTTAGAAATAAAGTAAATAAACTGATTAGTATGGCAAAAAATAAATATAGACAGGAGCAAATTAAGAAGTGTAATGGAGATTTTAGAAAAATTTGGGTGAATATAAATGAATGGTTAGGACGTAATAAGACTAGCTTGGATGACGTTATCATAAAGCATTTAGGTAAAAAGGATAGTATAGAACAAATTTGTACAAATTTCTCTAAAACATTTACGCAGGAAATAAAGGCGATTAAACATACATGTAACTTGAAATTCTTGGATAGAAGTAGGTATGTAAAACCGAGCGAAGTGAGTTATAGATATAAAAAAGTTTCTCCGGAAGACGTAGAAAAGGTTATAAAGAAATTGTCCTATGAAAAAGCACCCGGTCCCGATGCAATACGGGCGCAAGACATTATATGTATACAAAAGCGAATAAGTCCGGTTCTAGCATTGTTTGTAAACACATCCTTAACTCGTCGAGTACCGGTTTTATAGACACAATTAAAGAACAATAGGTCGCGGTCACCGGTGACCGCTTGGTGTTTGACAGTTTAAATAGTGGTACTTATCCTGAACAATTAAAAAAAGCAATTATCCGTCCTATATACAAATCAGGCAGCCATCTGGATTATGCAAATTACAGGCCCATCGCAATATTGTCAGTCATAGATAAAATAACTGAAAAAATAATTGTAGGTCAAATCAGCGAATTTCTTGAACAGCATAAAGTACTTTGTGACACTCAACATGGTTTCCGCAGAGGGCGAAACACGGTCTCAGCTCTGTTGGGTTTCTCTGACTACATTAATGAGTCTCTAGACTCCGGGAAACAGATTATAGCACTTTTCATAGATTACAAAAAGGCATTTGACACATTAGATCATAAGATATTATTACAGGCAATGGATGAATGTGGAATACGCGGTCCCACTAACAAATGGTTCAAAGACTACTTAACCAATAGAAAGATAAGTACCATTATATCTGGCAAGTCAGGGAAAGAGGCGGTTGTAGATTTAGGTGTGCCCACTGGATCTGTGTACGGACCAGTAGGATACATAATGCATGTAAATAGTGTGTCAAATGTTGTAGAGAAATGTAAGGTATTTATGTATGCTGATGATATGTGCCTTGTATATGCATCCAAAGATATAGCTGAATCTCAGAAGTGTATACAGAGTGACTTTGAAAACATCAGTAAATGGGCGCATGACAATGGAATTATATTAAACCATACAAAAACTAAATGTATGCATATACACTCGCCATATAATCGGAATGCTAAATCCATAAATAGTGAATCTATAGCAATAATAGGGCATACGTACGAATGTTTACATAGAAATAAATATAACTGTAACTGTAGAAAACTTGAATATGTACAACAATTTAGATATTTAGGCCTAACGATAGATAACAATTTCAGTTGGAAACTACATGTTAACGATATTTGTAATAGACTAAGGGCTGTGCTCAGTAAGTTTTACCAGCTAAAAGATGTATTAAACAAAAAGACTTTAAGATTAGTTTACTTTGCACTTGCAGACTCACTGTTAAGTTATGGACTTATTGTGTATGGCAGAACATTTATTACATATTTAAAAGATATTAGAGATTTACAAATAAGACTGATAAAGTTCCTAGTAAGTAGAAGTGTTATAGATAAGTGCAACAGAGAGTACGAAAAATTGTTTCCTATTTGTAAAATAATACCCGTAGATAAAAAAATAGATTATTTAATTAGCTTAGAATATTATTATAATGATAAATTTAAAAATAACGTAACCAACAAATACAACACACGTAGGGTCAGAGAAAACAAATTTACTGTACCAAATATAATAAATTATTATGGGAAAAGAACATCCGCCTACTTAGTACCTAAAGTATTTAACCAAATAGTCATATTAAGAGAAGATGGGAAAAAATATAGGAAGGGACCTATAAAGTCAAAATTAAAAAGAATTATATTGGATGGAATAAGTTAGAATAAGGATTTTGTATGGAATTTTAGATTTTTCATTTTTCATATTTCTTTAATTACTCAGGGGTTTTAGTAAAAATTGCTTGTTATTGTCTCAGAAGTGTTTTTTTTATTAAATATATGTAAATACTTGCTATGTCATGCTTGGGTTATAGTGTACCTATATGTTAAGCAAAAATGTTATGATGTTATTAATATTGTTTGTACAACGAGCGTCTCTCGCCATCAAACGTCAAAGTTTGGCGAGATTAGATATAAGGCCATACCTTTGTAAAATTGAAAGGAATAAAATTTGTCTAAAAAAAAAAAAGAGCTTAAAAATCTGTTGTATTTGATTCAACTATTTCGTGGAACGAAGCAATATTCTGTTTCCGAACGATACAAAAGTGACGTTTGTTGACATTGACATGGCAACCTAATCACGTAAACGTCAATTTGACACTAATGTGTAACTCTTTTGAAAGGGGATTGTCTGTTTTTGCGAAGAATCTATGCTGTGCAAAGTAACGAGATATCTATAAATAACACGATACGTTATCAACGTTCGTTTACACCAGAGCGAGTCTTGGCTATTTAATCTAATCGCCACGCCTCTACATTTAATTAATAACAGAAATTAATGAATACGTCACTCAGTTCCTTTTTGAATGCGGTAGAAGAAGATCGTTTATATATTTTGTGAATTCTGTGTGTGATTAAAGTTAATTTTGCATCAAGATTCGCACCTTGGCCCCGAAGTTATACCGGTTAATTAGAAAGGCCATAGATTATAAGTGTAACCTAACTTTTTAAGAGAAAATAGTGAACTTTTTGCGATGTCCGTCTTGAATAACTTTACGGTGTCCGTTGCGAAGGGTTTACGACGTGAGTACTAAGTTTTTGTTTATTTATTTACGTATTTTAATAACCTACGAATAATCGGCAGATAACTATATAGTTGAAAAGTATTTTAAAAGTTTTTACTACTTTATTCTTGAGTTAATTTATCATTAGTAAAAAGTTGGTCTTCTTGTTTTAAATAATAATGTCGTTGTTTTTTTTTGTATTATGTCCAGGCTGTGCAATGTTCAACAGTAATGAAATAATGAATAATATGGGTAAATTTAATTTAATTGATACTATAGGTTCTGTAATCTATTGATTACTGTTTACCTACAATTGTTGAGATAAAGCAAATATTTTGTTTATTTTTATCAGTAAGTAGCTCTGTGTGGAAACGTCTAGAACTTTCAAGAGTTTGAATTCCTTTTTTATACTTAAATTTTATATGGGAATAGGAACTAAGTAATAATAATTTAATATTATAACAAATAACTAAAATCTTAAATATGTATGCCTTAAAAAAATAAAAATATTAGCTTGAGGCGTCTAAAAATTCCTTTTTTTATTTAAGTAACTAAGTAGGTTCTTTTTTATAAAATAGTGTGAAATGTTTTGTTCTATTAAACTATCTTATTTTAAAATATACCTATTTTCTTAACAATATTCTCCAACAAACTATGAGTTTTCTTAAAAACTACAGCTTTTTTAAAATTTAGTATATTTTTTTCATTTGTCTGCATTATTTCTTGTGAAATTTTATTTGTTATTTGATTAACAAAAACTGTTCATTATGATTTAAAAAATCTTCATTTAACTCGTTGAGTACCGGTTTTATAGACACAATTAAAGAACAATAGGTCGCGGTCACCGGTGACCGCTTGGTGTTTGACAGATTAAGTTATCATTTAATAAAAAAAAGAGTTTATTGTATTTTAATCTGCAAGGCCATTGTTATCTATTGTATATTAAGTACCTACATTTTATTATTCTCTTTACAGATTTTTATATATATACATATTTTTTAAAGTACTCTAAAAACCATGTGAAGTAGCAATACTTATCATTTGATCAGGTCTTTGTGTACTATCTTATTTAAAATATACCATAGCGTTGGGGACCATAGCGTTGGGGATAGCAAATCCCCAGCACTAGTATTGGATTATTCCACCTATATAACAAACGTAGCTAATTCAAGTTTTCGTGGGAAAATCACACAAAATTATAATTGGCTGCCACAACCTTGCACAAGTTCATTTCTACTCATTTTTAATATGTAAATTAATTGAATTTATAAAGTTTATTGTTTGGTTTTAACTTCATCACAAAAACAATGCTGTGAATGGCGGACTTAATGCCTTAAACTGTCAAACACCGCGAGGACACCGGTGACCGCAACCTATTGTTCTTTCATTGTGTCTATAATGACGGTACTCAAAGGGTTAAGGCATTCTCCGACAGTCAACCATAGGGAAGTGCAGAGAAATGAAGCAGTTGATGTGTTTTTAAGTTTTAACCTTACCCTATAAAACTGCATCTATTGTCATTGCAGATACATGGGCATTTAGTATGATAGATTCACAGATTTGTTTTATCCCTGACGATTCATTTGAAAGAGCTGCCTTCTTTCAAATGCTCTGAGCTCTGGAATGAAACTTCCATACGGTAATAAAAAGTAACAATATACTCTTAGGTAATTTAAACCGTAAATCGTTTAACATTTCCCTATAAAAAACAATTTTAACATTATTATTTGAATCACTAACTTTTTTAATCACCATTCAAAACTCTTTTAACTCGGTCTCCTTCGACTAAGAACACATGCCCCTGCAGGTTTCAACTCTAAAAAAGGTAGGTAAGGTTATAAAATCTCCAACCAATTTTTTATAACTCAATTGAGTACTTTGCTTGATCAAAAATAAATTATTTCGACTGTTCAATACAATAAAATATAAAAAAATAATCACACTTTCATTAATTCATTTTATTACCAACTTAATTTCAGTATTTTTTCAGCAAATTTTTAAGAAATAAGTACGTTGTTTCACGCGAAATGAACAACGTGACATCACAATTCATAATCTCGTACAAAAATAAAAAGCTGTCATTTTTGACAGTTCGAATAAAGTATTGAATTTCACTAGTTGGCAAGTAACGTATTAAAATCTTTCACACTTCAAGTAACTAAGTATATTGCGACATTTAATTTCACATTAAAGTTACTAAGGCCACACCACCAGCGAAGTGATATCTTCTCCTTATCTATAAGTAAACATGAGATTTTAAACGACTTTGATATGCTGTTGCTTTTTATTTTCATTCAGAGATAATATTTTATAAGCTGTTTTCTTGGGAAAATACAAATTCACAGATAGTTAATTTTTTGTCGTATCTTATAATTTTATGTAGCGTGATGTGGTCGGGCGATATTTGTTGATGGTTGCAAAAAAACAAATGTTTTATTTAAAGTTTTAAGTCAAAGATCAGAGTTAAAAGTCACTGTATCTATTTTAAGACTAGCTGTTTACAGACAAGACATTATCAGCACTATATCTCCATTGACCAACTGGCAAATATAACAGGCCAAACACATTTGTTTGTTTGGCCAAAGAACCCAACATCATTATGTTGGGTTCTTTTAGGAGGTAAAATCATCGAATGACTTCTCCTGCCTGGGTGAAGCGGGAGGGAGGGTCAGACTCTTACTGACTAAAAACCACCCCGTTTCTACTCTTGCGCTTCGAGCCAATGCCCCGGTAACCTTTTACGTTCTCCGCGGCTCCGTATCAGCATCAGCTCTATTGGGCTCCATCCGTAGTGCTAAACGCGATGCTCCGTACGCTCGGAGAGTTATCTTGGGCTTAGAACCTCAAAAAGGTCATTAACATTAAAAAAAAAAAAAATTGCGAATGTTGAGATAGATCATAGTTACACTGTTTCCCATTTGGTATTGTGCCAAACTCTTTGTATAATTACTAGAACTATCTCTGACCTAGTTTCAAAACTAACTGGTTACGATGATAAAACACAATTGTTATAAATTGACACAAATGATGATAGACTGATGGAATGTTACCTAGGTCTTTAATTGACTACTCAAACTATTAATGGTTGTTATTTTGAAAAAAATTGAGATATAGTAAAATTTTTTGAAATGCCTTTTAATAAGGAACGATACAAAATAATGGTCTAAGACTTAGACCATTATTTTGAGTTTATTAGAGTCTAATCGGTCTAGTATTAATAAGAGTCTAAGTAATTAAGTACTTACAAAATAATGGTCATATCTACATGACATGTAATCGTTTAGAGTACAATTACGTAAAAAATCATTAATATTATCAACAACCGATAGACGTCCACTGCTGGACATAAGCCCTCTTAGTCCTCCACGTCGAGCGACAACTCGTCACCTGCACCACTGGCTGCCTGATATAAAAAATACCCCCACTTTAAACTCTTTTTGATTCTCTTTTACAATAGGTGTGGCTACAAACATATATTCATTATTTCTTATATCAATAACTAATCTAATACTAATCACCATTAATAACTAATAATGTTCTGTAATCTCTAGGGGGGGCCTAATTCTTAAGATTACAGACTAATCACAAGATAATATTGCATACATATATTTAATTAGTAAATTGTTATTGTTATTGCAGAATCTGATTCATTGTAACCTCACATAATAATCTACTGTTTTATCGGAATTTTGGAAATACCAGCCAAAGACACGTGTAATTTGATGACTTCATAGCGATTTCCAAAGTCGCGGAGAAACTAACGGGTAACCGGGGCTCCGGCTCGACGTGCAGGAGAAGGAACGGGGTGGTTTTAGTCAGTAAGAGTCTGACACTACCCGCCTCACCCAGGCGGGAGCAGTCATTCGATGATTTTCCCCCCTTAAAAAAAACGATTTCTGAAAGTATTAATAACAATAATAACATCACGTTTTATATCACACGATTGCTACTCATGTACTCGTTTCTGCTGGTCATCTATAGATAACTAGACGATCCTCTATTGTTATTGATTTTTGTCATAATGTGAGCTTATCATTCATTAATTCATAAAAACAATATCGGATTCCATTTTTAAAATCACTAAAACTAAGAAATAGACTTGTGTGCATAGGCGGCGCTGATCAGGCGCTGATCATGTACCAGACAGAAACTCTTTTTTTTTTTTGAGGGGGGATAATCATCCAATGACTTCTCCCGCCTGGGTGAGGCGGGAGGGAGTGTCAGACTCTTACTGACTAAAAACCACCCCGTTCCTACACCTGCACTTCGAACCGGAGCCCCGGCAACCCGTTAAGTCTTCCGCAGCTCCGTATCGGCATCAGCCTTGTTAGGCCACATCTGTGGTGGTCTGATGGCTCCTTAAGGCGCGCGCGGAACGCAACGCGCCGTACGCTCGGGCCTGGTTCTGGTCGGGCGGCGAGTCAACCAGCCAGAACCCCTGGGTTCTAGCTGCTTTGGGGCTGCAGACAATCTTGCAAGTTGTTCCTGTTTCGAGCCGGGGCCCCGGTAACTCGTAACTCCCCGGTTATCCGAGGAACCGGAACCGCCTAGTTCCTACCCCTGCTGGAACGGGGTGATTTTTAGATGATTGTTTCTACATACATACATAACTTCATGCCTCTCTCCCATCCCTGGCAGATTTCGCGAGTAACTCTCCGGGCGTCGGGGATCGCGAGACGATCTCCGACCACCGTAAGCGCGGGCCTGCGGACGGCGAGTATGGGTAGTTCGTAGTTCGCCGCCCGAGAACCAGACCGAGAGATAGACACCAGAAGAGTCTGACACTCCCTCTCGTCTCACCCAAGGCGAGAGAATTCATTGACTGATTTACCCCTTCAAAAACAGGGAATCCGTCTGCTTAGTTACCCCCTATTCCATAAAAAAGTAATCTTTCATCATCCTTTGAGAATGAATAAGTATTCTATTCTCTTCCATATAAAAGTGTAATGTTTATTATGTAAGTTATGTTACGATTCTATACACACATGTAACAAATGTTAAGGTCGTCGACTCGGGTCA